CATAATCTGCTCCAAAAGGTACAATAAAACCGGTCATTCCATATTTGCTTTTTACTCCTTACCTCAGCAATGCCATTAATAAACAAATCTCTTGAGTATGTTGTCCATCATCATCATAATTTTTTCTTAGAAAGTGATCATAATCACCGTTGGCTTACACAGATTTGGTAAGATATTCTTAAGTCATCACGTTCTAATTTTTTTTCTCTCTTGTACCATCCTTTTTTTTTATGTCTATGTTGATGATTTCAGATAGAAAATTTTGGTCGCTTGGTTAGAAATTATTCATGAAAATTTTCATTGCATAATATGCTGTAAAAGGTACAACAAAAAAGAAGTCACTCTATATTTGCTTTGTACTCTCTAGCTCCACAACGCCATCAATACACAAGTCTCTTGAATATTTTGTTCATCATCATCAAACTTGTTTTTTTAATAATTCAATAAAAATGTTAATAGTACACATTGATTACTATGCAGACAAGTAAGGGTTCTGAACGTACAACTCTGTTTTGACAAGTTTCGAAAAGATTTTTTTTTTTTATGTTTTGACCAAAAATTAAACGACATTAAACTAAGGTGATGTGATGATTTCACACATTAAGGTGATGTGATGGAGATGATTTCACACATTAAACTAAGAACTAGTAGTTACTTAACCAAAATTATAAAGTCAATAGAAGGAAAAGAATTATATCTATAATCTCGGCTGCTAATCAAATATGGCATTGCAGAGATTATATGTTTTTGTTATGTGAAGATGTGTGATGTTGTCAAACTAATACTCGTTTTTTTTTTTTTTGTCAACCAACTAATACTCATTTTGTATACTGAAATAAGCAGGGACATGACAGTCTCTTTGTGAAGGTAAATTAAAAAAATATTGCAAAACGTAAATAGAAAGGAATTTGAGAGTGGGTTAAAAAAAGTGAGTGCTCTCGCAGGCACGGTCCATGGACTGTGCAGGGAGTGCTTTTGCACAAGTCCCAAAGTGGGCTTCACAATTCTGGTTAAAATTTTTTTACAAAATTATCTTAAATTTTTGTAAAATTACTAAAAAAGATCATAAATATTTGTCAAATATAAAAAAGCCCTAAAATTTTTTAAAAGAATTTTTAGCACATGGTTTATAAAACCGGCGAACCGGGCATCTGCTCTCATACCAACAATTGTTACTATATATATCTTGTCAAACATAAATAATAAGATAAATTACTAGATAAACCAATTTTTTCGTACATAAATCA